CCCCCCCGATAAATTACAACTCCCCTCATAGACCAAGAGGCACGCACTGCGTTGGCGCGTTTTCGTTCATGTGCGCACGATCAGGTAGTCGCTCTTCTTCATCAACGTGCAGGGGATGCAGCGCACTTGGTCGTGCACTTCTCCGGCGTCCACGTCAGCATGCACAGGCTGGGCCCAGGGATACCTGGCGGCCCAGGCAATCTGCCATCTGTGGGGATTTTCCTTCTGCTTGTCCCGCCATGCACCGTCGCTCATGCCCTTGCGGATGCGCTGTGTCTGAGCCCGCTTGGCACTGCGAGCACTCGGGTTGGGCGCCTCGCCGCATTCGTTGTTGTCAAGCTGATTGGGTGACAGCTTGCGCTTATGCTGATCACAACCGCCATGGAAGGCAGGGGTAATGGCGCCCGTGTCATCGGTCGCCGCTGGCAGCAACATTGCCGATGCATTACCGACAACAGCACCGCCGTCCCAAACGCCTCAGGAAAAAATTTAGACTTATCTTGCTGTTTTTGTGTTTGTTCGGCGTTCAAGTCGTTGCCTTTTGCGTGTTTGTCTATGGAAGGACCGGTCATACATTCTGCTATGCCGCGTTGACTCACGGGCTTGACCTTCTTACGGCCCCTCATATCTATTTTATGATCGATAATACTAAGTTCTGCACACTACGGAACAATCTGGCAGCAATGGACGTTTTTGGCTGAAGGAATGAAAATGTACGGATCGGCCTCACTTTGTTCCTTATTTCCAAAGGCCAAAAAGGCTTCTTTATTCCTTAAAAGTAATATATTACTTAAAAAAAACACTGCATGGAGCCCGCGCTGCTTTGAGGCAGCCGCGGGAGCTGACCAAACCCACGTGCTCGACTGGCTGCTACTTCACGGTTGCCAAGTTGGGACGCCGTCCGAATGCCAGGCTGTTGCCCGTGCAGCAGCAAGCTGGGGCTCCCTAACCTCTCTCCGCTGGGCCTTGCGCGTACTACGGATCCAGCCGTCCCCCTCTGTAATGGAGGCAGCTGCCGCATCAAAGCACCCTCAGTGGCGCGAGAAGATTGAGTGGCTGCTGGAAATCGGCGCTCCTTGGTGTTCGGTAAGTTTCGATTGACAGCCAGACTCCTAAAACCCCAAAGACTACTTTGTCCAGGAAGCTTCGTCGCATGCCCGCAAACAAAAGCCTTGCCGGTCGACCTTGCCAACTAGACCTGTAGCTACTTTTATATATCATATAACGAGGTGTTTGCAAGTAACTGGTGCTATTTACAAGATGCGCACCCCAAAAAATGCGTGTATGATGTACACAGGCAGCGCTTCCCCTGCTCTCTCACCCTCTTCGGTACGTTACACTGCTCTTTTTCCCTCTCCCCACCGCCGCCTCCCGCCCTAACCACAACGTAGCTCACCCTTCTGGAAGCAGCCCGGGAAGGCCATCTGGAAGTTCTTAAACTGCTGATGCACTATGGTATCGCACCCATTCCGTTATGCTACTTCGCCGCTGTCACCGCTGGGGGAGACCGTATGGCGGCAATTTCTGAATGGCTAGAAGCGCAGGGTGTACCGGTACCCGGCAGCAGCGGTGGTGAACCCGCCGACACCGGGGTCCTCCTCCGCGCTCTCGGGGACCCCGCAGCCTTGCCGGGCCGCTTGTCGGCCCTCAGATGGCTCGTGGATTACCGCCGCTGCCGCCTCGTCCTAAGTGAACAGCTCGCGTGCGCCGCGGCGGAGGGTGGCGACGTTGCCGTTCTGTCGTACATCCTGGAGCCGCGCGTCGGCCGTGAACATCCAGCGGCCGCAGACTGGCCGACCCCTGCGGTATTGGCGGCAGCGCTGCTGGCGGCAGCAAACGCCGGGCAGTACGACATGGTACGGCACCTGGTGGAAGTACACAACGCACCGCTGAGTGCAAACGTAGCGGCGGCGGTGGCGCAAGCGGCGACGACATGTAAGCAACATAACGGCGCGGCGGCGAGGCAACACGGCGACAGCGCAGCGGCGGCGGCGGCCGGGTCTTGTGCTGCTGCGTTGCTGCGCTGGCTCCACTGCAAGGGGTGTCCGGCAGATGGCTCGTGAGTTCCCGAATGTGATGTGGTTTCGGAGACGGGCCTTATCTTGAGGGGGGCCCATCTCTTGGGGCCGTCCAATCCATGGCATCACAGGGGGTTAGTAGGGACCGCGTGGGGGGGGTGTCGACGGTCACGACGACTTCGGTTGCGTCGCCCGTATTGGAAAACATTGGGAATCAACGTCACTGGCAACGCGAAAGGGTCATCGATGTGCTTGTGCTTCCTGCGCATGTGCGCGCAAGCAACCTGGCGTTTGGGGAGGGTGTTTCACGACAAGGTCCTCTGCGGCAGAGCGCCTCGTACGCATAAGCCCCAATGACGGTGACGATACGACTGTACGATAAGAATGATGTCGTACACTTTCCTCGTTTCTGCGGCGCAGAGCAATCTGGAATGCGCTGCGCCAGGACGACTTGGCGGCCGCTGACGTGGCGTACGACATGGCCCTCGCAGGGCCCTTTCGGGCCGAGGGGCTGGTGGCGACGGCGCGCTGGTGCAGCCTAGCCGCCATGCAGTGGATGGTGGCCCACGGGTCGCCATTGGGGGGAATGGGCATTATGGCCGAAGCGGCAGAGACCGGAGACTTGGAGAAGGTCAAGTGGCTGCACGCACAGGTACGTCGAAAGGTGTACGGCAGAGTGTACACATGCATGGCAAGCATCACGGTAGCATGTTGAGGACAACTGGTAGCTTATTGATCTAGTTGCCTGATTTGGCCACACAGCTTCCATTGGGTACTGCAATGTACCGGTCAATATGCACACTGTGACGAGCTCCAAGCCGTGAAAAAAAGGTAGTTGAAATTTCGTATTGTAGTATACTGCTAGTATAAGGATATAGGAAAGACCCTTCATTATAATTTTCACGAATTTTGGTAAGCTGGCGCGGGATACGTTGCATGCGGGAACTTCCCAGACCGGCTACCACACGAGAACCCGTTGGATCACATCGGTGTGTGTTGTTGATCCATTCAAATGCACCATGTAAACTAGCACCATAGCCAGCTGGCACCACCCGACGCTGTCTCTGTGCTCCTGCTGCTCCTGCTGCCAACTCCGATGTTTCCGATGTTTCCGACACAGCGCTGCGACTGGGATTCCAGGGTTTTCACGGCAGCCGCAGCCAACGGCCACGGCGCCCTGCTGACGTGGCTGGCGGAGAATCACTGTCCCATGGGTCACGACGGCGACGCGTACGTGGCGGCGGTGTCGCACTTTGAAGGTCCAGACTGGTCCACACTGGGGCTCCTGAAGGAGCTCGGTTGCCCCTGGGGCGAAGGTGGGGCTTTTGCGTGTAGATCGTACAAACCACCAACGGAACCATCAACAGCCGGGTGACTGGTAGTGTGTAGTAGCTGCTGGCCCCTGGCCTCTGAAAAGGCCTCTCGAGATGCAGGTGGTGGAGCGCTTAGCGCATAGTTGCGGTTGTTATGTGAGCCGTACAGTGTACCAGCTACTACATAGAGGGTGTCTAGGTTGTGGCTGGGGGTTGAGAAGAGAACTTGCAGTTGGGTGTTGGTGACGGAAGGATGGGGTGCAGATTGCGTAGGTTCGCCCAGCTGAATTGAGCTGGGCATTAAAGGACGCCGCTGAATTGTGTTGGGAATCAGAATATATCGCTCCTGTTCTTCTGCTCCGGTGCGGGCGCTTCCAGGCTTCCGTGTTGGGTGGCTGCGGCGCTTGTAGACACGGCCCCTTGGTTAAAGTAGTCATAGTAGGTATATTACAACGAGCCCCAGACCCCAAGGGAATGTAACCCAGGGCAAGGCTGTGGGGTTGCGCCACCATCTGCAGGTACATTAGCGCGGGCTGCGGAAGAGTGCATGTCCAGGCCTGTCATGGTCGAGCTGATGAAATGGATGATGGCCGCAGGCTGTCCGTACGACCATGAGGTGGGCGACGGCGTGCGGCGTGGGGGGTTTTGTGGGCGTGTGGGGTTTCCGGGGGGGGGGGAGGTTTTGGCGTGCGGGCGTGCGGGGTTTCTGGGCGTGCGGTTTAGGCATATGGGGTCTCGGAGGTGGGAGCCGGGGGCCGAAGGTGCACATTTTGGGGTTGAACATCGTGACCCTGCTCTCGGGGCACTCTCGCTATCTCCGGCATGGCTGCCGTCGACATGGCTCGGACAGAACGGCATTCCTCGCTACCAGTTAGAACTCAACGGCATCGTCTTCATTCGTGTTTTCCCCCACACCCCCGCGGTGGTACCACCACGTGCAGATCGTACCGCATCTTGCCGCAATTTACGGCCGCCCGGACCTGGTACGAGGCGTCCCGGGGGCTGCAGCGATGGCACCTGCAGCGGTGGCGGAAGTCGTGGTTGCAGTGCTACCTTAAATGGCCATCCAAGTATATAATTTATAAAAATATAATAATGATAATTATCACACAACAAAGCGCCTTATACATATAATACATATGGGATTTGTTGTTGTGCAATACCTATCACCTGGTTCGCATCGTATCGTGTGGTGCTGAGCTCACTTCCGTGAACATTCACATGTGCGCGCATCAATTTGCACAGCCGGTTGCCCGACAGGGGCTTTTCCGCGACGTAGGGTGGGTTGGGTTGGCTGGGAAGCGCCGCTGGTGCTGGGCGGCTCAGGGGGGACTCGTACGGGACTCATGGCTAGAGAGGGATATGGTAAGGTGTCAAGGTCAGTCGCCATAGATTGCAGTGGTGCGGCGGGCTCGCGATCTGGAGCAGACTGGAGTGGGGGCTTAAGGACAGCGGTAGAAAGGCAGCAGCGGTGCACTGTGATTAGTGAAGTGGGTGGACCGTAAGCTGCAGTCGTCGGCGTGATTTGGGGTATGTATAATTTGATGTACAAAGTGCGCCCTATGGCATTAAAACGTCGGAAAACCCCCGGGTCGGCAATATCCACCCACTACCTACCCGATAGGACCCCCATACTCTCCACCACAGCCTAACCCCTCTTGGTAGTGGTGCCCTTACCCTACCCAGACTATCCACCCCTAAATGACCCGTGGACGAGCCAACCCGACCTCTTTCGGTGATTACCCCATCAGCTTTATCCAACCCCACCTTTACATAACCCGCCCCATTATTATTATTATTATTATTATTATTATTATTATTATTATTATTATTATTATTATTATTATTATTATCTTTCCCAGCTCGGATTCCAATGTGATGATAAGCTCTTTGTTATATGTTGCATTTGCACCAGCTTAACTGGGTAGGGCGTGTTATCGGGGGTTCTGTTGCGCAACCCTTCCCTTAACCCCAGAGAAGGGGGGGTAGGTGGGGGCCGTAGGGGTGATAGCAGGAGAACAGTATCCTGGGTGGTGGAACGAACACAGCGATTGGGAACCAAGCGTGATGAATCCTAATGTGGCCATGTCTTCTTTTCCCTTTTCTTCTTTTTCCTTTTTTCTTTTATCTGCTGTGATGCGGTGTTAAATTTCTCTAGACTGAAATGTCTATAGATTAAGTGTGTGTTTTGGCAATGCCCTCAGGGCTTGTATTGGGAGGAGAGTTTTTGCATGTAGGGGGGTTTTCGTCCCGCTCTGGCCATCACTTGTACAACACATACTCATACACATGTAAACGCACAAGAGAGGCTTGAGGGACAAGTCGGTTTTAAGTCGTGTAAGCTGCATTCGATGAGGGAGATTGCCGTCACAATGGAGAGTGAGGCCCGCTGACCAAGCCACCACCGATGGTTCCCGCAGGACCGATTACATTCCACGACAGCAGCGGTCAGGACCTCACACAGCCCACTAGCCCAGCAGCTCACCAGCTTTTGGAAGATCTTTTGAATAAACAAAGCAGCCAGTTGTCTATTTCTCCCCCCATTCCAAGCAAGGGGTACTACGATCCCGTTTGCAACCATGACGAGCCCTTGAGGACGTGTCTGCCAGGAATTGTATATATAACTGCGTGGCAGCTTTCCGTGACTTCTACAAAGCATACGACACGCTAGATAAGAGATTTCCTCTACGCGTGCCTGAACGAATTGGAGGTGGGCGCAGGATTCATGTGGGTACGCGTGGTACGACGTCTGCATACCAGTACGCGATCTGCGGCGATTGTCAATGGGTACCTTCTTTCCTACTGGGTTCTGAATGCAGCTGGCGTCAGGCAGGGTTGTCCTCTCGTCCCCATACCCTATCTGGCGCCTGCACAAGCATTACTAGCTTGGCTATAGTATCAACAGATCGGCATAAGTTTAGCTGACATCCACCTCGCAGCGTCACAGTATGCGGATGATTGTGGGGCTATGTCGCGTCGCCTCGCGGACATTTCCCGCTTCAAAGCGGTCATGGACGTATTTCACGCTGCCTCGGGGCAACGGCTTAATAATTGCAAGGTTGAGCTTTCGCCGTTTGGCATTTTCACCCGCAATACAAGACCAGCGGCCATACCACCAGCGACTGCGGGCTGGTGATGCCCGATGCCATGGCATGGCAGCTTTTGCGGGAGACATAGAAGTAGCAAGCGCCGACGAATCGCTGCCAGTTATAGGTACGGATAAGCTGGCGGCTTCAGAGTGCTTTTAGTAGCTACCACCTCAGGGGTCCGCTTCGCAGATTGGCCCACGCAGGAACCACGAAATGGTGATTCGCACGTAGCCTGCGCCATCATATGCATGTGTACGCAAGCATGTTTACAATTGACCTGTCCCACCAACATGAAAGACCTGGAGCACCGCCGACACAAAACGCTCATGGCCCATTTGGAGAAGCATGCTCCGAATCCGAAGTTGAAGTACGAGGGGTTTATGACTGCTTTTATATAGTTTCCGGAAGACGGTGGCTGTGATGTCACCTACTTTTTCCAATACATTTATATTTATGCCGAAATACCAGCCTCAGTCGTTGCACATGAGCAACCTTTTTACAATTCCCGAGCTGCACCCCATATGTGTAGCAGATATAGAATTGACAACTTTTTATAACTCAGCATTTAACAGGAGGATAAAGTGCGCCCATAGTCGGTTGAGGCGTAGAATGTCTTGTCCTAATATGCCTTCAGAGCCTTCACTGGCTGCTTCGGCCATTTCGTCATTGCATCATCCGAGATTCCGTCTACACCAGGAGCTTGGTAAGTAGCTTTCGAAATGCTTTCCTTCATTCCGCACACGCATATTCAAAACTCAAGCATATGATGCTTTCTCGTCAAAAAAAAACATGTTTTCTACGTGTCTTTTGTACGTCTTTCAGTGATGCGGCAGCTAGGATTTCTGAAGGTGGTGGTCCCAGGGGACCATCGAGTAGCACCGCCGCCATCGCCGACCCGAGCTGCAGCAGTAACCAGCGGTAGTTTTTAATTCTGAACCAATGAATAATCTTACAACAATTTTTTTTATGATACTTGTCTTCCATTTGTGTTGTGGATTGATGCTGGAGGGATCATGAAGGCTTTGCAACAGGCCTTGGAGGAGGTGCAAAAGGTGTCGCCACCGCCGCCGCACCGCCGCCGGTGCCATGGCGGTGCCGCCGCCACCCTTTGCACAGCAGCCTTCTCCAAGGCCTGTTCCAAAGCCTTGATGACCGCTCCAGCATCAACTTACTACCAAAAATGGAAAATAAGTATCATAAAAGTTTTGTTGTAAGAATATTCATTGCTTCAGAATTGAAAACTACCGCTGGTTGCTGTTGCAGCTCGGGCCAGCGATGGTCCGTTGGGACCCCACCTTCAGAAAATTTTAGGTGCCGCATCATTGAAAGACGTACACACGACATTTTTATGACGAGAAAGCATGATATGCTTGAGCTTTGGATATGCATGTGCGGGAAGTAATGAAGGGAAGTATATCGAAAGCTGAAAGCTGCTTACCAAGCTCCTGGCGTTGATGGCATTTCCGATGATGAAATGGATGAAGGGCGTCTTAAGGGTTGCCAGGGTTGCGGATCTGTCCTGTGTGGGTGCTGAGGTTGATGGGTCGAGGTGTGTCCTGACCCACTCTGGGCCAGGTTGACCTGGGGAGGAAGGCCACGCCACTAAGGTACCAAACCCGTAGTAGGTCACCCACCGTTTGCAATTTCCTGCACGTAGCGATCCCCTCAAAAGTGTGTATGTATGTATGCATGAAGTTTACACTGTGGGCTGAGAAGCTGGGGACCCAGGGCCAAAACACAGTGTGGGGGTGGATGCATATTTTGTTGTTGTTGTTGTTGTTGTTGTTAGTTGTAGTTGCTGGTTAGTCTCATGCACTCTGCCCCCAGGTCTTTTTAATACTAGGTTCTTCAGGATACGAGGCCAGGTTTCGTGTGTTGTGAAGTCTAGGTGAGTTAGAGTTTTGGGAGCCAGCCATCTTGGTAAAGGGCGGGTGCTGAGCTTGGCTACCCTCCTCCCCCTGCAATTTTTGGAGGCCTGGTGGCTGTGTTTTCCCATTAAGTGTGTTTGGTCTTCCCATTCGAGTACATTTCGAGTTGGACCCAGTGCCATGGAAGGGTCTGGGCTTGTGTGGTGTTCTCCCCCTGATGGGTGCTATCTCCCCTGGACTAGCCCAGGGAGGGAGGGGCGGGTGGGTAGTAGACTCAGGAGGCTGTTTGGTGTCTTGTGGTGTGAGCTCTTTGCACTCTTTTTATTTGAGGATTTTGGAGCTTGGTGACCTCCCCAGCCCGGGATGACTCGTCGGGCTCCTGGTTGCCTGGGTCCTGGATGCAAGCTCACTGAGGTGTTTGGTACTTTCTGTCCATAGGAAGAACCCCTCTGGGTGTAACTTTGTTTCTGTTAGGTGACCAGCGGACATAGTACCTGCTTAGCTGGAGCGCTATCTCCAAGAGGGGAGTGCTGATATGTGCCGGCCGTAGTTCCCTGTGTGGCACATGTGCACACCTCCAGGTACGGCCCCTCCTGGGTGCCCACCTCCCCGTCATCTGCACACCTGCTATGTCCACCTGCTGCCTCTTACCACTCCTCAACCCTACATCCTCTTGGTGCTCTCTCTGCCTCTCCCCCTCCCCTCCTGGCCTCTCCCTAACCTTTCCCCGGTCCTCTTGCCCCCTTGGCCTCTGCCTCCCTGATCTGCCGGCACAGCTCCCCCAGACACATAAACTCTCCCTCCCCAATCCCCCCCTTGCATGACACCCCTCCATTCCCCATCCCTGCTCCCTCAACCCCCGTCACCTTTCCCCTCAGCCTCCCCCCTCACCCTTCCCCCACCATACCCGCACCTCAGCCCCCCTCCTCATCTCTACACCCTATCCCCTTATCTCTGTGACCCCACCTCCCATCTCCTTTGCTTGACCCTTAGGTCATGATGTCCAATGCTTCCGTGCAGCGCATTGCTCTCCCCACGACATTGACAGGATTGGGTGGTTGGGTCCCACTGGTGAATGAATGCAAGTGCAACCAGAAGTCTACTACTGCCTGAGCACGAGCATATTCCAGGGGGGTTTGCTGCTGCGGCTTTTGCTGTTGCCATCCCCGGTCCAGTGTTGGGACCCTGCGATTGATCCTTGAGTACTGGCACATTCAGCAATGGCCCCTCATGCGGCCTCACTCTGTTGGCCAGGTGGAAGAAGTTAGTCCATGGGCAGTCGGTTCCGCTCACACCAGTTTGGATTAGCTTGGAGCTAGTTGCTGGGTTGGATTTACCAGCTTTTGGTCAGGCTTTTGCAGCATCAGGTTCTAGCATCAGCACAGTCCTGTACAACTTCGAGTTTATGGGGGGACCTAGCATCACAGCCATGAATAGCTTGTTGGGGGAATGTGCGGCCATTATTGACAGGCAGCAGCCGCCTTCTGCTCGGGACATCAATGAGTGGAGGCGTGCTCTGGGTGTGGGAGTCGCATACATGCCGTTTCCTCCTGCCATTGGGGGGTTCGGTCTCATTCCACTGCAGGGACATTTGTGTGCTCGTTTTGCTTGCCTGTTTATCAGTGCAATTCCATGATGCGTCTGGCATGCTGGAAACTAACCCCACTTGGATTCGTGTGTTTCTACTGGCAGTATTGTGACATATTCACCCGGCAGCCCACCTGGTATGTCTGCTTGCCGGTAGGGGAGATGTGCGAGATGATGGTGCCATCACTATCCTTGTAGGCCAGTGCCGAAGGGTTGCCCGGCATTAACACGAATCCTAACGGTGTTGATTTGCTTACCACAACCTGTCCTGTTGGATTCGCAACATTTAGCCCCGGGTCCTTGGTGTTTCCACATCCCATTCATAGGTGTGTGTGGGAGGTTGTGTGTTTCACGGCCATTAGCTCGCTCAATCTCGGTTGGTTGTATAGGGAGGGTCGTCAGGGCAATACGCCCCTGCCTACATCCGCTCTCAACCGCAATGGTTACGGTGTCATCTTCGACTTTTGGGCCCGTTTCACTGCTTTTGCGACCTCGGGGACAACCCACCAAAGCTTTAGGAACACGTGCCTGTCAACCAATCTTTCTCGTCAGTCAACGATGCAAACAAGGTTGTTTGCCGTTTACCTGTAATAGAACGAGGAGGTCTTAGGGCTCAGTCTGAGCCTGATCTTTTGTGTCTGAGTGGAATAGCTGAGATTTTATGTCCAGTGAAGTTAGTACGCCCTGGCCGAGTCCACTTTTTGAATAGGGCCCACAGTGTTGTGCGGGAGGCGTTGCTAGGAGCATTCCACTCGACCCGTTCGGATCCACTGTAGTGTTTGCATTCTGACTGGACTTAACTGGATTAAGTCCTGTCAGAATGCGATGGACTTAACTGGAACTGACACTACTCCACAACGATCTGCATCTTCGCTTATGTCGAGGGAAGTGGATATGGATAGGTAAATGAGAGTGCAACACAACTGCCTTGCACTAAGGTGGTCTTAACGATGCACTATGACAATACCGTAGTGCTACTTATAGTTCGTGATCGCTTTGTTCGGGGAGGGGTCAAAAAACTTTCTGAAATTTGTACGTGCTCTTTGAATTTCGGGGAAGGCCGGACCAGATTTTGCGGGCATGATACAAATTTCGGGGCCCCTTCCAAAGTTTCGGGGCTTTTCAAACTGCAGCTTCCAGTCAGTCTCCCTCCACCGGGAACCCTTAGGCTCGTGGTCTCTCACCATTTTCACACTTTGGAAACGCCCTAGCAAATTCTGGACCGATCGTACAGTTCAGTACCAGTGGCAACGACCTAATAACCAACCGGCCGAGCCAATACAGTGTTTGGGTGGTTGCTACTGAAACGTGTCTTCATACAGTAGACTTGGGCGTGGCGGTGGCCACCCGAGCGGGCGTCACAATGACTTGCCTGGTGAAGCCAGGGGCCAGTGCGAACTGCAGCCGAGTCATGGTTGACCCGCGGATTTGTTGAAGAGGACGTCCAACAGGTCGAATGCCGGCTTCGGAGGGTACGATATTTCGGGGCTGCGGTCCCTTGGGATACCTTAGAATTTGTACGTGCTACATATTCGTGGTGCCTCCCGAATTATTGTAGCACGAACTATAAGTAGCACTACGGTAGGTACTATGGATGTATCTATGCAAATGCTTGCAAATGCACCTTAATGACGCGTGCCCAGGCCCCGAACTCCTTTTCGCTGTTAGCACAGCCGAACCGCTTCGTAACGCCCCCAGGAAAGCCGATCATGGTCATAAATATTTCGCAGCGCCCTCGAGCGCTTGCCAAAGAACCATTTCCACCTTCGCATGATTGGAGGGCCTCCTTTATCAATAAACGCCTTTGCGCAGACCTCCGAAAAGCCGTCGTCTCAGCCGGTTTGCGCGTTCCAGTTATTTCTATATGTATAAGAAGAAGAGGATTTTCCATTACGTTTGACTGTCTCGCTTTCTTGCTCTGAAGATGCAATCACACGCACTGCATAATGAACAAGGGCTTTTTAAGGTTCCACATGTCCATTGCGCGAAACCATGACGCATTATCAAAAGACGTCAGCAAGATCAGAAACCGATTTTCGTGCCGAGTCAGCACGTCATCGTTGGGGATTTGTGATGCTACCTTTATGCAAGGCGGTTAATGCGGCGTCGGAAATTGATGCTGGCCATCGAAAGTCCTGAAGAATGGCATACGTGCATAAAAGTTATATCCGGGTTTCTGCTTGTCCCCAAATTCCGCACCTCATTTAGCTCATTCGCTGCGCTCTTGAGGCGGTTGGTCAACATGCATAGTAATCGTCGTACAGTTGACATACGCAGTAAATCCAAATCACTTAGCAGGTTTTAAAGTAAGTATTGTCCCTGTCCTCTCCTATCAGACGTCATAGGATCCTTTTTGAGCCTAATTGCAAACTCATTGTTTATCGAGCCTGCTGCACGTTCGGCGTCTACTGTGGAGTCGATTTCCGGAAGCTATCCCACCTTTTGGGGGTTAATTGTTCTTTGCAATAATGCAGCGTCTGGAAATCCTTGCTCGCCAACTGACGGCAGGTAACGAGGATCCCGGAAGTGTTCCCTTCCAACTATGCAGAATTGGCTTTTGTTGCGATTGAACGAGAGGACGACTGCCAGAGCCGCAAAAAAACATGCACGGGGAAGGGCTGCCTTCGTTAGCGGACATTGGAAGCGTGCGTATGTATTTCAACTAGCATGGCGTCTTAAGCTGATCACCGATGGACCAATTGTTCAACTTCAGGGGCGGCGACGAATGATCGCACGCCACTTCTTGCAAGTCCCGAAATTTACGAGACTATGTACCGGAAGTCGGTGGAGGACCCCGAGGGCTTTTGGGGCGAACTGGCGCTTGGTTACCATTGGCAGACAAAGGTAATCTGTAAACTTGTCAGGCACTGCAATCTACGCCCAGCAAATTATGCGGAAGGTGTTCCCAACTTTCAGCCTGACAATTCATCCTCGTTGTGCTCTTGAAGGTTGGGTTTATATGCTGGAGGGCACGGAGCACAGTAATCATGCATATTATTATGTCCGTTTATTCCCTACTGCTCGCTTTTCTTTTTACACTTTTTTGTGCACGTCCTCAAGCACATCGGGCCTTTTCAGCGCCCTGCCTTCCGCATACGGCCCGACGATGTCCTGCCGCTCTCCCGTCCCGTCTCGCAGTTCCCAGCCCGCGGCCACATGCTCTACAACACCGACGTCCGTCGGGGCCCCATCAACATCCAATTCTTCCGTGGCGGCACCACCAACATGTCGTACAACTGCCTCGACCGTTGGGTGGCCGCGGGCCGCGGCGACGAGCCGTGCATCCTTTGGGAGGGCAACGACGAGAATGAGCGCCGCGCAGTGACGTACCGCCAGATGCTCGACGAGGTTTGCCGACTGGTAAGTACACTTGGGGATGAGAATGACTCAGAGCGGCTCCCCCCTCCCCCTCACACCCAGGACTCCACTACCCTCCATAACGCCCTCACCGACGTGCAGACACAACACTAGACAGTGACGGGTGCAGCTAGGGGCACAGGCCAGACAGCACCCTGTCAGACTGCGTCACCCACAGTCGCGCTCTCCCTCTCTCCCTCTCTCCCTCTCATGCACACGCCGCAGTCGAACTGGCTGATCTCGGCCGGCGTCAAGAAGGGAGACTGTGAGTTTTCGGGGTTTTTTCGGCTTTTTGGCGGTGTAAGGCTGTGAGGGGGGCTGTGTCACACCCCACCCACCCACCCACCCACCCACTAAACACCCGCGGCAGTCCCTATCGTTGCAGCTATGGCCGCACACTTTTACGAGGCGATGGCGGTTAACCTGTTTGGCGCAGTTTACCTGCGTGGCTCTCGAAAGCCCAGTAGCACATCACTGAACAGTAAAAATGCCATGTGCCATTGCGCTGCGGTGCGCGATTGACTCCACAACACAGGCTATGCTCGTGCTTTCGGTCCCCCCCTCCGTCTTGCATGTCCCCTTCATTCTCATGGCCACCGCAAGATGCATAAAGCACGACGTTTTGGATGGTTGTGAGAAAATATATACCAGCAAGATGCGTTCCATTACCCATCCGCGACTGATCACTTTTTGCCTTATACTGACCGAAATTGTCTGCACCTTTCCAAATCCCCGTCATACGTCGTACGCCAGCCGTAACCATCTATATGCCTATGGTCCCGGAGCTCCCCGCTGCCATGTTGGCCTGTGCGCGTGTCGGTGCCGTACACAGTGTCGTATTCGCGGGCTTCAGTGCTGAGTCACTGGCGCAGCGCATCGTTGATTGCCGGTAAGGAACATGGCCGCGGGGTTAGGCTGTGTGTTTTTGGAAAAGAGTGGGCGGGCCCAGCCCAAGTCTTAGCGCTCTAGAGGCAGCTGTGGCAACAACGAACTACTGCTGCGACTGCTGCTGCTGCCGCGTTCAAATAAAGAGTAGAGCAAGAGATAATTTGCAGTGGAGCCAATTAAATAAGAGGGTCTTAGTACGCAAGGTTTTAAAGGGCGGCGCCTTAGCAGCTGCAGCGGTGGTGGTGTGGCGAGTTTGGGTGTCCTGGGGGCTCGTACGCCTGAGGCCACATTTACGCTGCTCGGCCACATCACCCACCCACATGCTAGGTTGGTTGGATTCGGACTACCGTCGCGCCTCTTTGCAGGCGCACATACAAACATATAAACACCATTAGCACACACATACACTTGTACGTGAGTTTGAACACACACACACACACACACACACACACCCCAAAACCCACGAGGACCTTTCTGTCTTCCCGTCCCCAAACCGGGGGAGATCTTACTGAGCCCTAAGGCTTGTAACCCCGACCGATCTTCTTATCCGTGGCACACGTGGCACAGGGGCAAGGTGATTTTGACAGCCTCCGGCGTGATGCGCGGCACCAAGCCCGTGTTGCTCAAGGCCATCGTGGACGACGCGGTCAAGCTGGCGGCCAAGTCGGGCCAGCCGGTGACCAAGGTGCTCTGTCTGGAGGTGCCCTCGGCGGTGACCGCGAGTGCCACGTCCTGGGACCCTAGCCGCGATGTCTGGTGGGGCGATGTGGTCCCTCTGCAGGTGGGAGGGGTGGAGCGGGGCGCTGCGTGTGTGTGTGTGTGTAGTGTGTCAGACATACACACAGACAGACAGACACACAGACAGACACACAGACAGACACACAGACAGACACACAGACAGACACACAGACAGACACACAGACAGACACACAGACAGACACACAGACAGACACACAGACAGACACACAGACAGACAGTGTGTATGTCTGTGTGTGTGTGTGACGTTACAAGTATCTGACCGGGCCTTCGCTTCCTCCCCTCCCCCCATACCAAAAACCCCCCAACCCT